AAAAAAAAAAAAAAATCCTAGAGAAGCACTACTCAATGCTGCTGCTGTGTGGTGTAGCCACTTTTAACTCTTTGGTGTTACCTTCCACTAATGAAAGACAGTCTGGACTCTGACTACTCAAGGACATGGGTGGTTATAACTTGATGTGTGTCTCACATGGAAGGTAAGACAGATAATGCTTGGCATACAGCAGGCACTCAGTAAATACCAGCTATGCTACCACTATTCAGGCTGGCTTTTATTCTCTATTCCTCTTTGAAATCTATTAACTTTCCCTGTTTAGATCTTCAGTGACCATTTAAATTTTTATTTAGAACAGTGCCTATGGTACTACTAAAATTCAATAAATAATGATCAATAGTCTGGCATCTTAGTTCAGATATCAGCCAATTAAGAGGAAAAAACAAAAAACAAAAACCTGTTGTCCACTGATTGTTGCCACAGGAATGGCTGAAGCTTGAGGGATGCTACTTTCCATGGTAACCGTGACCTGCCCTGGAACCTTGGGGGGAAGTGACAAGGTAGAAGGTGGAGCAGGAGCAATGGGACGGCTAGGAATGGTGGGCTTTGGGGGCGGCTGCAAATAGAAAACCACATAACACATATCAATAGTCTTGTTCTAATGATACATTTCACACTATAGTTAAAATTATACAAATCAAACCGAGACAGTGCCAGGTAAGCCACCATATACCTTATATGATTTATCTGTTAGCACCACAGATTTTCTATTGTACTAGCATTTTCATTTTACAGGGGAGCAAGTATCCAAAGCCAAGTTAAGTGACTTGTTCAGAACCACAGATAATAAAAAGCAGTACTAGAAATAAAGTCCCAGTCTATCTATATAGCTCATAGCCCATGACCTTTCTTCTGGGCAGAAGCAAACAGAACTCCCAGTAATGATACCCAACTCCAACATAACATACAGGTGACACGCTCACACATCCCCAAATGTATCACTCTTCTCTTGGAGATCTCTTGGAGAAGAGTGTCACTCCAAGATCAACATCAAAATGGGTAACATCAAAGACCCTGTCATGCCAACTGACATGGAAAACAGCTGAGCTGAGTTACAAAGACTGAACAAACAGGCAAAATAGAAAAGATGAGCTGGGTGCCAGTGGCTCACGCCTGTAATCCTAGCTACTCAGGCGGCTGAGATCTGAGGATCACAGTTCAAAGCCAGCCCAGGCAGGAAAGTCCGTGAGACTCATCTCCAATTAACCACCAGAAAATCAGAAATGGCGCTGTGGCTCAAGTGGTAGAGTGCTAGCCTTGAGCTGAAGAGTTCAGGAAAAGCAGCCAGGCCCAGAGTTCAAGTCCCATGACCAACAACAAAAAAAAAAAGATGAAGTAGGATCATAGGCTAGGGCACAGTCTAAGATTCTGTTAAAAGTGCAATAAGTACTAGTAGTCTTCAGCTGTGGTTCACTGTGAACACTTCCTTGGGTCTGGCACTTGAACTCAGTACCTCACACTTGCTAAGTACGTGCTCTACCACATGACCTACACACATATTTCTCTTGTTTTTTGTTTGTTTTTCAAAGAGAATCTCTAACTTTGTCTCGGCTGGCCTCAGACCACAATCCTCCTATATCTGCCTCCCAAAAAGCTGTGATTTCAGTGTAAAAATGTAAAGGTCTCCATTACCTTCATAAGTCCCTCAGAAAATGAGAGTGGCACTGCTGGTGTCAGGTGTGCGGTCGAGGCTGTCACTGCAACAGGTGTGGCTGAGGCAACAGCATGGTGTGCAGGTAACATCTGTACCTGTGGGTAAGGCCTTACCACAACAGGCTCCTGTTTCTCTTCCCGGGGTGGCAAGGAGCTGCTGGAGGATGTGTGCTCCCTGGCACCAACATCGGCATCTCGCCCAGTCTCGTCAGTGACTAGTAAAGACATGAGGGGGAAACAGAATGTTACAGTTTCCAACATTAATTAATGTAGCAGCACAGACAATAGTGACACTTCAAGATAAGGCTCACAGTGGAGGAGCTGACCATTTCTTTGTGAAGCTTTTTTTTTTTTTGGAGACAGGTTCTTGCTAGGCCAGTAGGCTAGATTGGCCTAGAACAATCTTCCTACAGCTTTCAAGTACACAGGTATGTGCCACCAACCCCAGTAAAGCAACTCTTAAAACCTGACATTAAAAAAGACCTATTTAATACAGTTCTTAATTTTTAAAAACTGAAGGATAGAGGCAAAAACACTTTTCACTGTATATTCCTTTTAGACTACCACAGAGCATGACCTATTTTAAAATTAAGAAAATCAAGGAACAAATATTCACATAATAAGTTTGTAAAAATACTAATTCATACACTTTTTTTCCCCTATTTGTTGGAGACAGGATCTTGCTATGGAGTCCAGGCTACTCTCAAACTAATGATCCTTTTGCCTCAGCCTCCCAAGTACTGGGTACAAATGTATACTACCATGCCCAGATTTCATACTTAGTTATCTTTTTTTTCATAATAATACTCACATTCTTATTTTTCAGAGTTCACACAGAAAATTTAAACTTGGAAAGTATAAGGAAAATAAACATAACCCTAAAATCTATGCCCCAAAGGAATCAACAGTATTTCAGTACCTCAGATACTTGTTATTTAATTTGGGATAGGGATTTATTTAATTACTTTGTATTGAAGTATTACCTCCATGTAGGTAAGTGTACAAGTGTTACCTATCCAGCAAAATGGGCAAACAATACAGCTGAGTCACCAACACCCAGCTTAAAAAACAAAACATTCAGCTGGGGCACTAATGGCTCACATATATAACCCTAGCTGAGAAAGGGAGGATTATAGGTTGAGGCTAGCCTGCCAAAATAAAGTTTGAGCTCTTCTTCCCCCTTTTCTTTTTTTTTTTTTT